ATCCCATTTTTATTTATTGATGGTGCGTGCAACTCACTGATCATATTAGAAATTTCAGAAGTAACTTGCATACATGGGGAATTTACAGCCTCAGAGAGCCACTGGGGGAAATATGAATGACTGGGACATGTGACAATCCCAGGGCTATGATTCGGTCGGTGTTGTAGGCCAGATCTTGGACAATTATCTGCTCGGCTGCAAAATCGTGCTGAGTTGAACTAAGAATATCAAACGTTATTTTAGGCTTCTGCTATCCCATAATATAACAAGCATCGTGGCTGAGCAAGTTCTGAGCATCCATCCAGAAACAGCTTCCATGGAACAATCAGTAAATAATGTGTTTAAGAGATTAAATCTATTCTCTTTACAAAATGGTATTTTAGTATCCTTATGACTTCAGACTTATTTCTAGTTGTCGGCACTTGGTTGCTGAAAATAAGTTACAGTCTTAAAGATACAGTACATTTTCAAATTAAACTGATTTCTCATGTAAGTAAATAAATACTGGTTATTAAACTTAGTGACTGCCACATAGACCTGAGGTATAGTGTCAGCACCACCTCAAAGCCAAATGCTCATTGAATTATACAAGAATCTAAATGCTAAGCAGACTGATCTATAGCTATATATTTAAGGAAGTACATTTAAATAATTCAGATTTCCAAGCCAGGATGCCAGAAAGAACAGAAATGAGAGTAGTTACTTTAGCATTTCAATAAGAAATATGCCATAAGAGGTCTGAAACATAAAAATAGCCAAGAGCCAGTGGTATAAATGAAAATACATGGAATAAAATCTTGATGAATCTGAAGCCAACTCTGTAGTAATTCTCAGCTAACCATGTCTCTATCAAGCTTGCAGAATAGAAGCAAAACATTCCAAACAAGTTTATCATATTAGAGGCTTTCTTAAAGCAATACACTTCCACAGTCAAGCCCATGAGAGCCAGTGTTTAAAATCATGCCATGGGTTCTGTGTTAGCTGTAGCATCCTAGGAAAGAGCTCTGCTGACTGGTCATCAAGGCAGGAAAGAGAAATGACACATTGTAGATTTTTCTCAACAGGACTGAAATTACAAGTTACTTTCTGGTTAAGTCTTTCACTAAAAATTAAATGAACCAAAACACTAACTATTTGTGCATCCTATCTCAAGGTTATGTTTCAAACAGGGCTGTTTTCCTCCATAATCATACAGGCATGACAACTTTCTTCTTTTTTTAACTTATCAATTTATTGATATAAGCGTGAGAAGAACGAATCTTCATGAAAGAATTTCTTTCAAAGAATGCATTGGTTTTGTAATGCTTTGTTTCTATCCCTACGTTTCCTTGAATATTCTGACTTGTTTGAGAGGGATGTATAGATGGGATGGTTTTTCTTTTACAGCAGGGCTGTCCGTTCACTTAGATCAATGGCAAAGTTGCTTAAGGGATAGTTACAGTTCTGCGGCTATTGAAGCATGAAACCTTCACGTCCTCCCATCCTTCGCCCGCTGGCTTGGCCTTGCCTCTCCCTCCCACTGCACTGCTGTGGCCTTCTGTGTCCTTGTGGTGGCGTCTGTCTTGTCCGTCTGATCTTGTGTCTGTCTTGTCCAGTTCTCCCTGCAGTGTCTTCCTGTGTGTCTGTTTGTAGATGAAGGGGCTCGGGATCAAGTGGGTCCTCTACACGGGTTCCCCAGCCACGAACCTGCCACCAGCGGGGAGAGGCGTAGACTCCTAGCCCCCTCCATCTCGGTGTCTGTGCCTGACGATGACCCTTTCCATTCCGATGAGGAGTACTATGAGCATCCCTTGTTCAGCTCAGAATGGACTGCCCCTAGTGTGCCCCCTGGTGTCCCAGCGCAGAGCACAGAGGCCCACTTAGGCCGGGAGAAAGGTGAACTAAGCATGAGCCCCTTTGGCTCTCCTCCTCAGCCTGCAGCTTTGACCGCCTGCCTCACGCTAAGTGTGCCTTCCTGTGGGGTGGGAGGGACAGGAGCCTGTTTTCTCCACACAAAAGTGAAGTCCCTGCATAAGTTGCATCCATCCAAACGCCTCAACGATTTCTATCAAATAAACTTTACGGCAGGTGAACCCTTCCTTTGTATGTACCATTGCTTCTGAGCAGGAAGCGAAGGGGGAGGGAGCAGGAAAAGTTTGATTAAAGGATGACTTCTTTCTTTCCCCTGCCAATAAATACATTGGGGAAGAACATGTTCTTACCAAGCCCAAGAGAACGACCCTGAATTTTCTTTTTTCCCTTGGGATACATAATATTACTTAGGGCCAGCGTTAAACAGAATTTGGCCATCTTTTTAGGCATATGTGAACAGGCTAGCTCTTTAAAAGAGAAAGATTGATGAGTCTGTTTAGAACAGAATAAGTATATTGAAAGAATTTGTTCCCCCACGTCGCTTAATCTTCCGCAGAAACTACAGAGGCTTCTCCAGGAGCCTGGATCTTGGCTCCCATCAGAAGACCTGGGCTAAGGTGAAGGGGATGATTCAAAGCCTGTCATTCCAACCTCACAAAGCTGGCAGACTCTAGTTATAATTGACTATCATGAGGATGAAATAAGTAGGTCATGGCTACAATTGGTCTCATTTTAAGTAGGGAGTTTGTAAAGGAAAAAAAAAAGTACAGCTAAACATATGTTTGCTTAGGTGAAGAGTTTATTTTCATAGTGGACAGTATTTACTGTGAAAGCAGATATTTGAAGGGCCCTTTTGAAAAAGGAAACACACCAGTGACTCGGGCACTCTAATAAAGAACTGCAACCGATATTAAGTGAAAGTTAAGTTTTTCTAATAGTCTAAAAACTTAAAACAATTTTTAAAATATGTGAATGCTTGAGTAAGGAATAGTTATCATGGAAATAAGCTTAAGTTGTGCAAAATGAGAAAATGGAAAGCTACAAAGTTACATGTGTTTTTGGAAACGTAAATTAACTTAGACTTCATCCACTAAGATGACATTAGTGGCTGGGCTCGGTGGCTCAGCCTGTAATCCCAGCACTTTGGGAGGCCAAAGCAAGTGGATTGCCTGGGTCTGCGAGTTCGAGACCAGTTCAGGCAACTTGGCTAGACCTCATCTCTACAACAAAATAAAAAGTTAGCCAGGCATGATAGCACTCACCTATAGTTCCAGCTACTTGGAAGACTGAGGTAGACGGATCACTGGAGCCCAGAAGGTCAGCTCTGGGGTGGCGGTGAGTGTACCACTGTGCTCCAGCCTGGGCAACAGAGTGAAACTCTGACTCAAAAAAAAAAAAAAAGACATTAGTAAAACAGCTACATAGAATTCTTTAACAGCTACATAGAATTCTTTTAACTTTAATCAAAATCTTTGATATTATGAAATTTTTCTTAAGATAAGTTAGAATCTGGATTTTTAAAATGCAAATTACATAATTAAATTACAAAAATAAAACTGGTAAATGTAAGGAGTTTAATGAAGTCGTGCTTGCTCTTTTTTTCCTCCCTGAGAGTGTTAATATTTCTTAGAAAAGAAAATTCCTTTCCTTTCTATCTGTTGTCTTTCCCTCTGGGACACTTAAATGATGTATAATTGTTTCATAAGAGTCTTCCATTTAAAAAACTATAAGCCGGACTCGGTGGCTCAGCCTATAATCCCTCGCCTTGGGAGGCTGAGGGGAGTGGATTGCCTGAGCCCAGGGGTTCAAGACCCGCCTGGGCAACTTGGCAAGACCTCATCTCTGTAATAAATCAAAAAATTAACTGGGCATGGTAGCACGCACCTGTAGTTCCAGCTACTTGGAAGGCCGAGGCGGAAGGATCGCCAGAGCCCAGCAGGTCGAGGCTGAGGTGGCTGGGAGCATGCCACTGCACTCCAGTCTGGGCGACAGAGTGAGACTTCAACTCAAAAAAAAAACAAAAAAACTATAAGATGATTTACATGTTTCTCTCTAATTTGTTAAGCAATAAAATGGGGTTTATTTACTTTACAGGCACTTGATGTATAAATAGGAAATAAATGAACATGATAATTCATATACTTCGTAAGTTTGTTTTTTATAGCTTAAACGTTAGCATTTTTCCGTGTGATACACATCTTTTGGGAGGGTATTTTGGCAGTATGGATGACAAATATGTTTTCTTGACTTTTTTTTGAATTGCAGAAATAAGACTTTATTGCTAATATGCACATTTTCTTCCTTAGTATCAAAGAGAATACAGGATATACAGTACTATTTCAGAGAGTTGAACGATCTGGTAACAGTTGTGTCCCAGTGGTAGACTTTTGTAAATAGATTTAAATTTACCTTGACCTTGTCTTTCAAAGTATTTTACTCAATTCCTTGAAAATTTTCATTTTCTCTCATGTCATATAATGCAATGAAGGTAACATAAGTTGACTTAGGTAGTCCTTTACCATAGAAATATGAAATAAGGTATACTTTAAAATAGTTTTGATGGACTTTGTGATAAAGCATTTTTAAGGTAGGTTGATCGGGTATTATTTCTGAGGCAAGACCCCCCCACAAAGGTTTATTTAGCGAATTTTCCAAATTTTAAATAAAGCAATCAGGAATTCTTATGTAGGGACTTCCTACATTGGAGAAAACAGCTCATACCTAACAAATTTAAATGCTTTTTTTTCCTTTAGCACATCAATACATTCATGTTTTCACAACCATCTGTTATCCAGTATTACCATCTCTTTTTTCCCAGCAAGCTTTCTACATGCGTGCAACTTACTGTTATTTTCACTAAGAGTAATCAATCAATAAAACCCTTTCAGCTCTCAAATTTTAAAATAAGAAGCCTTTTAATGAGACTTTAAAGTCATCACTATTAGCAGATTATACATCACAGCTTTTCAACCAGGGAATAATGTACATTGTATTAGCATATGAATTTGTACACCGAAATGGTACATAAAAAACCCCCGAGGTCTTCGTGAGGTCATTCTAACGGAGCTGAAAGTGTTCCTTGAATAATATTTCTGGTGTTTCATGTGTTGTTCTGTGGTCATGATGTCAACATCTTTTCCATCCCTAAGAAGAAGAAACACTAGAGAGTCGGATGGCTGAGGAAGAGAAACCAGCCGCTCTTCCTGGAAAAGAGCATGGGGCTGCTAAGTCCTCAGACCAACCCAAGGGCCTCAGTGAGGGCCAAGTGGAGTCTAGCGCCCAGGCCCAAATAGTTCCCGAAGAGAGTGCCCCAGCAGGGGCCCCACAGGAGGAAAGTGTAAAAGAGGTCCAGGAGGTGTCTCCAGAAGTAAAAACCCCTTCCTCTGCTGGGGAAGGTGTGTCTTTCTCAGGATCTGCATGTGTTTTGTTGCCAATGATCTCTCCAGCGGCTTACAGACCCGATGCCTTTCCAACGCTGTTTCATCGCTCGGTCTTCTCATGTTAACAAGACCACTGTCGTAGGCTTAATGAGCAGAGAGTGTGGCTTGCGCAGATGCTGTGTGGCAGCTTGGTTTTCCATTGCTGCAGCTAATTCCTGGTTTTCCTTTGCCATGATACAATACGCTTTGCAGCCAGGCTGATGACGCTATGTGAGCTTTTTTGTTTTTTACCCGCCCCCTCATCTCAAATGTTTGCCAGTCACATTGCTAATACATGTATATTTTTGTTTTTATTTTTGGGACAGCAACTCATATGCTTTTGTTTTAAATCGTACAGTTGGGTTTTGGCACATAGAGGCTTAAGTGGTAGAATCGTTTTTGTTTGCAACAGCAATGTGCTATATTTTTGTGTTTCAATGAATACTGGTTTGGTTTTCTTAAGAGCTCCCGCTGATGCTTCTCATATCATTTCTCTCCATGGCAGCCAACCCCTTTGGTCATCCTCATATTCCTTGATTTTTCACTCATCTAAGCTTTCCTGGAAGTTCATAAACTATTTTTTCCATTGTTACAACAGGACACACAAGTATACAAGGTAATGATGGATCCATACACTTGCTCTTTGAGAGATGGTTGAATTTTATTATTTTCCCCCCAAGTAGTTTCCAGATACCTACATTTAGCTCTCATGACCACAGTGAAACACTCTTGACCTTAAAACACAAGTGGACTCTAAAGCCTTTGGATTGGTGAATAAATAAAAGTAAAAATGTGTCATTTAATTTCTGCGAAGCATCTCTGATACCAGTGCTGGTCAGAGCCTCACCAGTTAGTCATGTTACAGGGAGAAAATTACCTCAGTAGTTGACTGTTTTGAAAATTTTGTTACTCGCATGACTTCTCACTATCAGTAGTATACTTCAGATTGTCTTATATCTGTCATAGAGACTTTGTCTGTCATCGGCTTGTCAGTTCTTAGGTCATATCAGATAAAACTGATGCCAAATATTTACATATATTTTTGAAATTTAACTTCAGATAAATTCTAAAAAATTATGCCATTTGCCTTTGGATTCCTCAAAATCGGGTCTGGCATTTCTTGATCAAGTTGGCTAAAACTGTTATCATTATGAATTACTTGGCCTTCTGCATATAGCCTGCAAATTCATTTTTAAATGATAAAATCAATGAAAAAAGCTTCAGTAGAAATAAATTCTTATTTATATGTAGTCCTTAGCATGTATTCATTTGAACCCTAACTTAGCTACTTAATCAGTATTGATTGATTTATAACTTTGATGTATAGAAATCACATGCTTTTTTTCTCTTATAATGCACATCACATCACATTTGGGAGAGACCAAACAAACAAATAAGGGCTAAAGAGTGTCCAGCAGGCTACTCTTCTTATAATTCCTATACACATTGATTGACAACCAGAGTTCATTTGACTAATGGTACATGCATATCTCAGTCCTGACATTTTCGTATTGATTTTAAATGGGTAGCATGCTTGCATGTTCCATAGTTTTTCTTTTTACCCTACCATTCATTTCTCATTTCAAAATATAACTTTAAGCTTCTTGCCTGAAAGCTGTTGCCTACTATTTATTTAAAAATCAACCCAATTACTTCAGATTTACTTACAGCCTCGAAGATGGAGTTCCAGGATCAGCAGGAATTGACTGCCTCTACGACTGAGCCTTTAGACAAGAAGGAAAAGGAGTCAGAGAAGCAAAGTAAGCCTGGCGAAGACCTTAAACATGCTGCCTTAGTTTCTCAACCAGAGACAACTCAAACATATGCTGACAAAAAGGACATGCAAGGCCCAGAAGAAGAAAAAGCATTTCCCACTTTGTTTGGGCACACACTTGTTTCCAGCCTGGAAGATACGAAACAGAAGATAGAACCAAGCCTAGTAGTACCTGGCATTGACCTCCCTTCAGTGCCTCCGACTCCAAAAGAACAAAAGGACTGGTTCATTGAAATGCCAATGGAGACCAAAAAGGATGAGTGGGGTTTAGCTGCTCCGATATCTCCTGGTCCCCTGACACCCATGAGAGAAAAAGACGTATTTGATGATATCCCCAAATGGGAAGGAAAACAATTTGATTCTCCCATGCCAAGTCCATTCCAAGGCGGAAGCTTCACTCTTCCTTTAGATGTCTTGAAGCATGAAATAGTTCCAGAAACATCCCCCTTTGCCCCTGCTTTCTTACAGCCAGATGACAGCCAATTTCTGCAAGAAACCAGTGGCCCAGCTACTGCCAAAGATAGTTCTAAAATTGAAGAGCCCCATAGGGATAAGCCTGACAAAATGGCAGAAGCACCAGCCTCAGAGGCAATTACCTTACCCAAAGATGCTCACATTCCAGTTATGGAGGAATGTGTGATGGAAAAAGTACTAGAGAAAGAAAAGGGGGGCATACATCAAGAGAATGTGCAGAAAAAAGATACCTTCAGCCCCAGTGGACAGGAACCCGTACTCACTGAAAAGGAGCCTCAACTGAAGCTTGAAGAGAAAATGGCTATTTCTGAAAAAGAAGCTGTGCCAAAAGAGAGTAGACCACTAATATTGGCAGATGAAGAAACAGGCATCATTCAGACCTCCACAGAGCACGTTTTCTCTAAAGATGAACAGAAGGGCCAGGACTCTGCCACAAATATGCTCAAACAGGACCCATTTCCTGTGAGTTTAGAGCAAGCAGTTACAGATTCAGTCATGACCTCTAAGGCAGCAGACAAGGTCATGGCTGAACCAGCTACACCAAGTGAAAAGAGTGCAACCCAGGAAGTTTTTGAAGCAAAAGTCGCTGACAAAGATAGTAAGGTTGAAGGAGTTGGGGCTACAGCATCAGTGGAGCTTGACATGCCGTTTTATGAAGATAAGTCAGGTATGTCCAAGTACTTTGAAACATCTGCCTTGAAAGAAGAAATAACAAAGAGCATTGAGCCAGGCAGTGATTACTACGAACTGAGTGACACTAGAGAAAGTGCCCATGAGTCTGTTGAAGCCATATCTCCCATGCATAAAAATGGCGACACGGGATTTCAAGCCGAAAAAGAGTCCCAGCCCAGTGCTCCAGCACAAGAAGCAGGATACAGCACTCTTGCACAGAGTTACCCATCTGATTTGCCTGAAGAACCCAGTTCTCCTCAAGAAAGAATGTTCACTATTGACCCAAAAGTGTATGGGGAGAAAAGAGATCTCCACAGCAAGAACAAGGACGATTTGACACTTAGCAGGAGTTTAGGACTTGGCGGGAGGTCTGCAATAGAACAAAGAAGCATGTCGATCAATTTGCCCATGTCTTGCCTAGATTCCATAGCCCTTGGATTTAACTTTGGCCGGGGACATGATCTCTCTCCTCTGGCTTCGGATATTTTAACCAACACTAGTGGAAGTATGGATGAAGGGGATGACTACCTTCCAGCCACCACACCTGCACTGGAGAAAGTCCCTTGCTTCCCAACAGAAAACCAAGAGGAAGAACAGATAGAGAAAGAAAAAGCCACTAGAGAAGAAAACACTCAAGTGGAGGCATCATGTGAGTCACCTTTCCTAGCCAAAGATTTTTACAAAAACGGTACTGTCATGGCTCCTGACCTGCCTGAAATGCTCGACCTGGCAGGCACAAGGTCAAGATTAGCTTCTGTGAGTGCAGATGCTGAGGTTGCCAGGAGGAAATCGGTCCCATCAGAGACTGTGGTTGAGGAGAGTAGTACTGGCTTGCCCCCTGTAACAGACGAAAACCACGTCATAGTGAAAACGGACAGTCAGCTGGAAGACCTGGGCTACTGTGTATTCAACAAATACACGGTCCCATTGCCATCGCCTGTTCAAGACAGTGAGAATTTATCAGAGGAGAGTGGTTCCTTTTATGAAGGCACTGATGACAAAATTCGAAGAGATTTGGCCACAGACCTGTCATTGATTGAAGTAAAGCTAGCAGCGGCTGGAAGAGTCAAAGATGAGTTCAGTAGTGAGAAAGAAACATCCCTGCGTATCTCTGGTGATAAATCGGGACTGGGAAGGGAGTTTGAAGAGAGGAAAGCTAATGATAGGCTGGATACTGTATTAGAAAAGAGTGAAGAACATGCTGACTTAAAAGAACATGTCAAGAAAACAGAAGAGGATGGTGATAAAGTGGAAACGTTTGGAATAGGAGTAACCTGTGAGCAAGCTTTGGCATCCTCTGAGGAATCAGAGAAAGGTCTTAGCTCAGTACCAGAGGTAACTGAGGTGGAACCACCCAAAAAAGCTGAACAAGGACTAGATTTTGCTGCCAAGAAAGTTGCCCAGGGTCAGTTAGATGTCAAAATTAGTGACTTTGGCCAGATGGCTTCGGGACTCGATGTAGATGCCGGAAAAGCAACAGAGCTGAAAGTTGAGGCTACACAGGACCTGACGCCCTCATCCAAAGTGTCCCAGGAGGCAGATGCATTTATGGGTGTTGAATCTGGCCACTTGAAAGAAGGTCTCAGAGTCAGTGAGATGGAAGTCAAGGAGAAGGTGGCTAAGCCTGACTTGGTGCACCAGGAGGCTGTAGACAAGGAGGAGTCCTATGAGTCTAGTGGTGAGCATGAAAGCCTCACCATGGAGTCCTTGAAAGCTGATGAGGGCAAGAAGGAAACGTCTCCAGAATCATCTCTGATTCAAGATGAGATTGCCCTGAAATTGTCAGTGGAAATACCATGCCCACCTGCCGTGTCAGAGGCTGATTTAGCCACAGATGAGAGAGCTGACGTCCAGATGGAATTCATCCAGCTGCCCAAGGAAGAGAGTAAAGAGACCCCGGGTATATCTATCACGCCCTCTGATGTCACAGAGCCGTTGCTTGAAGCAGTGGCGTCTGAACCAGCAGAGGTTCAGAGCGAAGACGAGATCGAAGCCCAAGGAGAGTATGATAAGCTGCTCTTCCGCTCAGACACCCTTCAGATCACTGACCTGGGGGCACCAGGTGTCCGGGAGGAATTTGTGGAGACCTGCCCAGGTGAACACAAAGGAGTGATTGAGTCCATCGTGACCATTGAAGATGACTTCATCACCGTCGTGCAAACCACAACCGAGGAAGGGGAGTCGGGCTCCCACAGCGTGCGCTTTGCAGCCCTGGAGCAGCCTGAGCTGAAAAGGAGACCAGCCCCTCATGGCGATGAGTTTGAAATGGAAGAGGCAGCGGAAGCCCAGGCAGAACCCAAGGAAGGCTCCCCAGAGGCACCAGCGTCCCCTGAGAGAGAAGAGGTGGCACTCTCAGAGTATAAGACAGAAACCTATGATGATTACAAAGATGAGACCACCATTGACGACTCCATCATGGATGCGGACAGCCTCTGGGTGGACACGCAAGGTGTGCATTATTATTATTTTTAAAAATTCTCTACTCCCCACTCGAACGCAATAACCTACCGGGAGTTTTGTTCCTAATTAAATATGTTTAGATGTCCCTTTTTCTCTTAAATTGCATTTTGTTAAATATACAAAAGATTTTGTACATTTGTTACTAATGTTGTTGTTGTTGTTGTTGTTGTTGTTGTTGTTATAATTTGCTCTGATCCACAGATGATGATAGGAGCATCATGACAGAACAGTTAGAAACTATTCCTAAAGAGGAGAAAGCTGAGAAGGAAGCTCGGAGATCATCTCTTGAGAAACATAGAAAAGAAAAGCCTTTTAAAACCGGGAGAGGCAGAATTTCCACTCCTGAAAGAAAAATAGCTAAAAAGGAACCTAGCACAGTCTCCAGAGATGAAGTGAGAAGGAAAAAAGGTTCATTTAACAATCACTTCTTTAAAAAATGTTTTTGAAGTAATTCCTTATTACTTTTTCGTAGAACTGCCTAACAGTGGTAACTGATTATTTATGAAATTTCGTTTGGTTTTGCTCCAAGTATTTCTTTTTTCCTGATGGTATGCTTTTTGTGTTTTCTTATTCATAGCAGTTTATAAGAAGGCTGAACTTGCTAAAAAAACAGAAGTTCAGGCCCACTCTCCCTCCAGGAAATTCATTTTAAAACCTGCTATCAAATATACTAGACCAACTCATCTTTCCTGTGTTAAGCGGAAAACCACAGGTGACTGTTCAATTCTGCAATGTGACTGGCAAACATAGACATTTATTTTTTTAAATCTCATTACTGTAGCAGCTTTTTCATTTTGTTTTTCTTCCAAGAATCTCAGCAGTCATGAACAATTTTGCTATTAAGTGTCTTGTATCATTATTCTCCTCCCCACCCCACCCCCGCCTTGCAGAAAAGGTCATGACCATCTGTTTCTTTGTCATGCTCAGACATAATAGTGCGTGATTGTATCTTGGCATTGTGCTCTAGTGTCACGTTCTGAGGATTCCTGTTTTCATTCTGTGTGTTTGGTTAGACGACGGCGATGAATTTAACCTTGGTATGCATTCTCATTATTTTGCTTATTTATCTCTCTCATGCTTAAACCCATAAATATTTGTCGTATTTTCTACATTTTTAATGCCAAATCTGTTACTGATGTTGATGAGTATACAGAAAACCACTAAGAGTGCATAGTGATTTAGATAGTGAAAATGAAAAGCAAACCTGGGGTAAAATTGCGGTTTGCAAAATTACTTTGCTTTTGGTAGGAAAAAAAAGGAGGAAAATGAAATTGTCTGGTCATCCCATCTGATTTTATTCTTCATATCCAAAATTAGTAAGGCTTCGAATCTGCTGAACCATTTCTTAGCTGACTTTCTGTCCTTGGGATTTTCTTAAATGTGTTATATCCAAACCATTACATTTTTAATATAATTTAGTATTCACAAATTTGAAGATAAAAACTCCTTCCCTGTTAGAAATAAACTGAAGTTTATTTTTTCTTTGCTACCTACGTATTTCTTTCTTCTTCAAATATATATATATTTTTACGAAGTTGTAAAAAGTGATAAAACAAAAAATTAAGCGTATTAGAAATCATAATAAAAACCCATATCAATATCTATAATGCAAATTTTATTCCTAAATGTCAGGACAAAGTTTTTATTTTGTATGTGTAATTATACTATGATAATCTTAATTTACAATGTATTTTATTTTAGCATTTATTAAGTGATGTGCTTGTTGTCTACAAAGTTATCAGATTGCTAAATCAGAAAGGAATATTCCTACTTCCATAATACATCATAAATGCCTCTATATAAATCTTGGGATGATTTTAAAGGTTAAGAGCAGCATTAGCCTTTGTGAGAAAGAGAAAAATCAAGGTAACTGATGGTTTTGTTATAACCACTAAAAGTGCCAAGTGTGTTGTATTCATGTTCTTCATATCAGAATCATATCGTGTGCTTTTTCCTTCAAGAACATCAAAGGCAGGATTTGAAAATGGAAGGCTTATGTATGCACAAACCTTGATAAAGATTTAGGATGAGGAACATCTCCAAGTTGGAATTAGGAATTAGCATGACAACTCTAAATCTTGTATCTCAGTTCATTTTCTCAGATTTTTACCCTCATTAAACTTGGGATTTTTCTTATAGTTAGACAAATTATTGGGCAAGCAGAATCTCTTGGTTTGCCATTAAAATCCCATAACCTACCTGAAAAGATGAAAGCATCAGGATTGTAGAGTTTTAGAGAAAATGTGAAAAAGTTTAGTAAATTATTTGTATGTAGTTGATTTAAATTGACCACACTGAAATTAAATTGTATTTTTATTTATTCTTTAAATGAAACTTAAGAGCTTTGGACTAACTAGAATTTTCCTTTATTCTCATCTAATATTAAAGTACTTCAGGAGAAAGCATATACCAAACACAAGTGTCATTGGTTTGAAGCAGGCTATATATGTCACAAGAATTTAAAATATTTTATAGAACCAGTAGGGAAGCATCATTTTCACTGCTTCTTAAAAAAAAGTCAGTTCTACAGTCTGTGACTAATCTCACTAGCAAGTCTTACATAGCATAAAACACATTGTAGACTGTTATTATTTTTGTGTTAGAACTGCTCATGGCATTAAAAAAAATCTTTTTGGAACTTATTCGGAGGGCTGATAAGGATACATATTTTTTCCTGAGCGTTTCTATTTTATGAACAAAAATTACAAAGGAAGGAAACACTCGCTTGAATATTTTATTTTTCAAGCACAATTTTCAAATACAGATGATTTTCTAAAACATAAAGGATTATTTTAAACCATGAGATATATTTAAGCCAAGTCAGGTAAGTTATCAACAAAAATATGCTAGATAATGGAGTTCAAAATTGAAACCAGAGGTAGAAAAAGACAGCATCAAGAAAAACAACAGTAACAGATGTGGTAATAATTTCATACAGGAAGTGCATGTGTAGAACATGTTCTGTATTTACTGAACTTAAATTTCTCTCGTGTTTTCTGTCCTAGACAAGCTATGTTTCTTCCCTTCTCATGTGATGCATTTTCACATCAAGCAAATGTGTCATTCATAGTGTGAAATGAAGGGATACAGAGGGAAAGGGGTTGACTGGTCATGATAGTTTGGAATGTAAAATACCAAAATATCTCTAGGGATGCCAGTGGCTTCCAGAACAAGAAGAGGGTTTGAAAATCTCTGTGAGCACTCTTCTGTATCATGTGAACCATAGAAACCCATCAGCTCTCTTTTTCTTAAGTTTTGCAGCATTCTTTTTGCTATCCTGTAGCTTGTGCTTCAAAAGATCTATTCTTATGTTCTAGCCATTGGAAGGTATGTTGGTAATCAATAGCAGTTTATTTGGTGTGCTTACTTGTGCTTTGGTAGACACTGGGTTACATTAATTAGCACACATTATAGTTGGAGCCACATGCTATGTTATTGTTATTTAGGTTTCTTCATTTACTAAATTTGAGTCTCAAACCAAGCAAATTCTGTTTTGCATGAGTCTGTTGACAACAACAGAATACCCAAAAGGTATTGAAAAATGCACTGATGTGGTTTTTATCTTCTAAGTTTGGGGTTGTTTGTGTCTTTTCTTTTTAACAGCAGCAGGTGGGGAATCAGCTCTGGCCCCCAGTGTATTTAAACAGGCAAAGGACAAAGTCTCTGTGAGTAAAATAAGTTTTCCTTATTCTTCATTTGAAGTTCTTCTTAGTATTAATTCAACATCTTAATACCTTTTTATATAATTTAGATTTTTACTCTTAAAAGTCATTTTAAAACATTCGCTCACCCAGAATGACTCTCGGTGGAATCCAGGCATGGATGGATTAACGTCTTCTGGAATGACACATGATGGTAATTGGTGACGACACAGCTGGGCTACCTGTTTATTATTAAGATACAATGTATATGTAGCACGACGATTTGGCAAAACTGGAGAAGCACGATTTATTTACTCTTGTAGACTCAAATTAAGCCTTTATAGTCAACATTAACCATATTTTATAATACATTTTCATGACTTTTGTTACAACATAAAAATATAACCAAATGAAGCAATATAGATAAGCAAAAAAAAAGTAAAATCAGTTTTAATCTGAAGATGACTACAGTTACTCTTTTGATGTAAAATCTTTGTCTTTGTCTATGCATTTATAGACTTAATAGCAAAAATGGAAACACTATCAATTTTTAATGAAACAATAAACATTTTTATGTCATTAAACATTTTTTTAAACATTCGAGACTATTATTGCATTTCATTTTCTTACAATGATATACTTTATCAATTTCCTATTATTTGACATTTAAAATACGTTTTGTTATTCTAATAATACTGAAATTTTTTTGGCTAACTTTATGAATACATTTATGTGCATTTCCTTAGGATAATTTTCTACTAATGCAATTATCATTTCAGGAAAAATGTCCATATTTAAAGTTTTTGCAACATATTGCCGAATTACCCTGAATAAAGGTTCTCCCTACGTACAAACTCTGCAGCGGTACACAAGAGTCCTTATTCATTATTATTACTATATATTTTTATATTGTTCTATACGTGCCGAATTATGAAGATGACATATATTATCATTTGGTTATATAAATTGGTGTTTAACTTCTTTTTTAAAATAAATCTTTGCTACTTCTTTTTTTATAAATTTTATTTTTACATTATTAAACATATTTTAAAAACCAAGCATAAAGTATTTTTACTCTTTTATGATTGAAAGAAAAAATTAAAATACTCCTGGCCGGGCACGGTGACTCAAGCCTATAATCCCAGCACTTTGGGAGGCCGAGGTGAAGGGATTGCCTGAGCCCACGGGTTCAGGAAAAACCTGGGCAACTTGGCGAAACCTCATCTCTACAATAAATCAAAAAAATTATCTGGGCATAGTAGCGTGCACCTGTAGTTCCGGCTACTTGTAAGGCTTAGGCGGAAGGATAGTCGGAGCCCAGCAGGTCGACGCTGGGGTGGCCGTGAATGTGCCACTGTACTCTAGCTTGGGTGGACAGAGACTCCCACTCAAAAAAAAAAAAAAAAGACTCCTAATGAAATCCTAAAATTACAACAAATAATTTGAGTGATGTTAGTTAGTAGCTTATCATGATGTTGTAAATCTCAGCAATCACCCATAATATGTTAATCACGATTCTTAATTTAGATTTCTAAAAATTGATAAAATTTTAGATTTCCACTTTTATTTATTATGAAAAATAGTAATTTATTTCCAGTGACAGCCAAATCTTTGATATCTTGAATCAGAGGGGTTTTACACTGATAAAAGAAGATTTTTTTAATACAAATGCTTCAGACATATTTCTGAACATATGGCAAAAAATAAAATTTATTTATTGCTTTGGTAAATATTATAATTTACTATAAGCACAATGTAATTTCTAGATTTGTGTCTCTTTACCTTCTGTTTCTGATGGAGAAATAGTTGTGATCAAGAACAGGAGAATAAAAAAAGAATAAGGGTATGAAACAGATAATATCTAAATTTTGAACATCTATGAGCTATATGATCTTTTTCTTCTTGTGTTTTAATTTCTTAAAAGTAAAGGAGGTTAAAAATTCCCATATCATAAATTAGTTATAAAAATTATATTAGTAATTTTATGAAACAACACAGTATAATGCCTAGAACATAGCATTCATTCAATAAGTAGCAACAGTTGTTATTCTTATTATCTTAATTATTTAAATGGTAGAAGTTTATTATCTTAATTATTTAAATGGTAGAACAAATAAGCTTGAGCTTTCCTCCTTCAAGAAAAAAATACCCCAGAGAACACTATTTTTAAAAATCTTTAGAAAATTTTTAAGTCTGTTGGTCTTCAAGTAACTCAACAGAAGCAGCATTTAATGCTCACGCTTCAGATAGAGACCGTACACATCTTCAACACACAACAAACTTTTTGTCCTTAAATGCAAATGCTCATCCTGTCTTTCTGAAGAAAAGAAGTTAGTCCATCATTCTTTCTAACTTTTTTCTTATTTATTATCCTTTTTTTTCTTACTAGTACCTTATCCTTGTTGTATAAGTTTTCAAAGATCCCAGGATTAACTCTCATTTGATTTAGCTCTGATATTCAATACATTCAGTGAACCCAACCTATCCCTAGCCCTGCATTTCATTTGGGTTTTTCTTGTTTGTTGTTTGTTTGTTTGTTTGTTTTAGCTTTAATAGTTGTCTATATTAAAGGCAATCCAATTGCCTTGTTTTTCATTTTCTTTTCTGTGTCACACTTCTGAAATTCACTCTTTTGTGAGTAGGATCGATTTAAAAAATGACTTGTGCTGACCAAGTTATACTTCCCAGTCAAGGTACTGCATCTGTAGTGATTTGTACCATCTGTAAATGCTTATGTCTCTGTTGTTGTGGCTACCGAGGTTAAAACTTGAGACAATATCTCAATTTTATTGCTCTTTTTGTAATAACTAAATCAAACTAATTCCTTTAAGATGATAATCTCCTTGACTTGGTCATACTTGACTGTGTTTCTAACAATCTCCCATGAGATTCATGGCACGTCAGCATAGCTTTCTCCAAAAGCCACACATCTAGCCCACTTACACTCACAGGCAGTCTCCCCAGGGGTTCTCAACACCTGAAAATTCAGCCTTGTGATTTTTATGGGAATTCTCTTCCGGGCTGATTTTCTTTTTCGCAATTTATAACACATCATACAGACTCTAGTCTGTGCATTAAAATGTTATTAGTTCTATGGTGTGTGTTCCTTAACTTATCATATATAAAATGCAATTTTTCCATTGAAATCAAGTGTAGTTTATCTGAAATAAATTTTCTCAGTCTTTAAAAAGTAGTCTTTAAAAAAAAGCTCGGTGGCTCAGCCTGTAATCCCAGCACTTAGGGAGGCCGAGGCGAGTGGATTGCCTGAGCCCGTGGGTTCAAGACCAGCCTGGGCAACTTGGCAAGACTTCATCTCTACAATAAATCTAAAATTAGCCAGGTGTGGTAGCGCACACCTATAGTTCTGGCTATTTGGAAGGCTGAGACGGAAGGATCACCAAAGCCAGGCAGTTCCATGCTGGGGTGGCAGTGAGTGTGCCACTGCACTCCAGCCTGGGAGACAGAGTGAGACTCAAAATATATATATATATAATACATATATATATATTTTTTTAATGATTAGGCCTCAAATATACCTTGTATTAAAGTTCTTGATTAAGATGATTACAATATGGATTATATGTATGCCTTAAAGATTGTGTTTATTAGAGGAACAATGCCAGCAGACTGGATATTGAAATATATTTTCCAAATGTGGTATCATTGTAAGATTTATGACTTAATTAGGCTTCATATACATAGAATCCATAAAGAATATTTTATCTATATCCTCATTAAATGAGAGAACTATGTACTACATCATTTTTAAACATTTAGCCACTTAACATCATCTTTTAAATCAGTAAAAGAAGTATTTTGCTAATCACCATTTGTAATATCCTTTCTATTTTAAGGCTTAGTCTGTGTTAAAAAAAAAAAGAAAGAAAGAAAGAAACTTGCTTTGGTCTCAGAATTTCACAAAGATCATTTCTCCATATCTAAGCATATTATGCCCTCTTCAATCCTCCCAGCCATCTACCACCCACTCACCATTTATTCAACAATTATTCATTATGTCTCTACAAAGTACCAAGCATAAATAGTCACAACATTTAGAAGTAAAGGAGAACACATAACATGGATACTTGTTCTAGACCTGGTTAAGAAAAAGTCAAGTGGTTTCGCATTTTTTTATATAACAGACATTTTTATGTTCGTATTGTTAAATTGTTTCTGCTAAAGAGTTGTTCAATGAAAAATCTCTTGTTCTCACCTAAATATACATCTCTATCATGGATTATAACCATTTATCATGTGTTCTTATTAAAGTAAGACTTTTAATTTTTTATATGTACATTTTTTAAAATTTTCCTTTTACTTCATAGTTTGGTTTATTTTATGCTTTTTTTTTTTTTTCTTTCATGGCTAGAATTCTACCTTGTCAAAGATTCCTGCTTTGCAGGGTAGCACAAAGTCCCCAAGATACAACTCAGCCTGCCCTAGCACGACTAAAAGGGCCACATTTTCTGACAATTTATTTATACATCCCACCTCAGCAGGCTCCACAGACCGTTTGCCATACTCAGAATCAGGGAACAAGGTAAGGCAGCAGGTTAATAAAAGGTGCAGAAAGTGGTATACTTTGGGAGAAGGTTATAGGACACAATTCAGGAAATGTATGAAAGCAAAGACTTTAAATCCTAAAGCATGTGACACATAAATAATAGACCCAATTAAAACAAATACATATTTAAAATTTTGACATATTTAACCTATTAAAATGTATTACCTATGCAAATATAGGAAATATATCTTTTTCTAGATATACTACCCATTATTAATTTATTATTTGATTACTTTGTAAAATATAAAATCCATACTAACAAAACAATATATTCTATGACGTATATCATATATAATGTTGCACAGTACAATGATGAATTATATTGTATGGCATATAATAAACAGCTGAAATTCAACATTCAGTATGTCAGTGTTTAATACTACCTCTGACACCTATCAACTCAATAATCTTGAAAAACTTACATAAATTCATTAACCTGTTTCCTCAGCTTTAAAATGTGTACATTATATTTTGTAGTGAGAATAAAATCCTAAATAGATGTAAAATATAAAGAGTTCCTGTCACTTAAGACACAATATATGATAGTGGTCATTGTTAAAAATAATGTTCATGCAATAAGCTGCAATCAGTTCTTTCTGATTAATGCATTATTATGCTAATGAAGGTTTTTCAGTAAAATTAGTAATTTCCTGACAGTTTTGTAAGCTTATTTTGCTTATATTGTCATTTAGAGCTTGTATTTCTTTAGCAATGATGAGAACTAACTCCAAAATAATATATTTCTATAAAACCCCTAGGCAAATATAAACTTTATAACTATAAAGTAGAAATGCTTGCTTATAAGTATATGAAATTTAGTAGTATGTATTAAAAGAAATTCATCTATCAACATAGGAGGAAAAAGACCTAGAGCAATGCAATCACTTCATATAATTAAAATAAAAATTTACGAGAACCCAATGTCCTTTTGTTTTCCCCAATCAGGATGGAGTAACCAAGAGCCCAGAAAAGCGCTCTTCTCTCCCGAGGCCTTCCTCCATACTTCCTCCTCGCCGAGGTGTATCAGGAGACAGAGATGAGAATTCCTTCTCTCTTAACAGTTCTATCTCCTCTTCAGCACGACGGACTACCAGTAGGTTTATTTTGGATTGACTCCTTTTTCATTAGTTTTTAAGTCCTTTTAGTGGACTAGAGCTTATTTATTTATTTATAAATTTAAGACTAGGTTATATTTGTCCTAATAATCAGAAAATCTTGACCATAGATTATTCTAAAATAGCTGTTTGAGTCAAAGCAGTTGATGGTGGAAATGGGAGTGTATCATCCTATTATCTACCATAATTGAGAATAAGTTATTTTTCCAAAAATATATTTTGTTTCTTGCTTTAAATTTAGAGCAAAAAAATGTAAAGGATGTAAAGGAGTAATTAATGTAGAAAACCAATAGTCGGGGATTTTAAAAGCATGCATCTACATAAGGTTAACACTTATTAGATTTCCAAATTCTAAAATCTAACTAGTAAGTCAACAATCAAAGCCTAGCATCCTGCTCAATCTGTTAAGAATTTGCATTTCAAAAGAACCATAAACAGCATGTTCTATGCGATAGCTTCCATTTATTTTGATTGATGGCTCATTAATGAACTGATTGGCAATTATAAAAGTTTATGTAATGTCCAATCATTACATACTTATACGTTGCATTGCGATGGAGACTACCTAGCAAAGCCTGGATTTAAATTATGTTCACAAGTATTTTTTTATTACTACAAAATAGCTACCTTTATTGAGCACCTCTTAAGACACATTTTTCACTAAATTAATTAGTAATGCTGATAGGTAAGTATTAATAATCTATTGATGAAAAAACCGACCTTGTAAAGAAAGTAACCAACTTGTCTAATGCTGCACAACTAATAAGTTGTTGAATTTGGTTTTCAGCCCACTGATAACTTCATAACCTGTCCTCTTTCTGTCTTTTCTGCACTATTTGAAGGAACCTAGTACTAGATAGCTACTGTAGAGTCACTTGGTGAATCATATTTCTGTTACCTAAAAACCATTATAAAATGGTAGAATTGCTACCATTATCAATAGTTGATTTCACTGCTTATTGTTAAAATATTTCATAATAACTGGCCCACTTCAATGTGACGATTTTGCTTGACACATAAACAGTGATTTTGTTTGCAATGAAAGTGTTTATTTTAATAAGATAAATTGTACTCAATGATATTTAGTTTTATGGAGTATTAGCATCCTTTGATATATGTGCTAGGAACACTCTGAAATCACTGAAACTTTTTTGGTATAGTAAAAATAATTTATTCAAGTGAACTATCAGGGGAGGCATTAAAGAGCTAGTAATCTCCAGGGAAGGGACTTTCACTAATTAATAATAACCTTAAGGATGATCAGGCCAGACAAAGACACCTAATTCTTTCAAAAGAAACACCTTGAATTATGCTTATATTTGTTGCTATGGAAATGAAATATCACTTTCTCCATAAATCACTTTTTCAAGCCACTGTATTCTGCCTTTTAAATTGTATCTGTATATAAAAAATGTTCTGTACCAATTCTATTTTGACTTTTTAAATTTACTTATGTTTGCAAACATATTGCATTGTACTTTGTAATGAACATAACTGAAACTTTGATAATGTAAGGACATAGAGTCTATTTTATCTCTACATATACATAGCTAAAAGGACAGTTAGAAGAGCAAGCTAACATAAGTTTTCCTTGTGTCTATTCACCTACCATCTCCTTATCTGCACACAGGAATGTTCTAACATGTTGTGCAGCTACTGAAAATATTTGAAAGAAAAAACGTTATACAGGAAGCTCATTTGGCCCAAGAGGAGGGAAAGGCATTTTCATTGAGGAGTTGACCAGATAAATAAGAGCACAGTTTAATAAAGTAACTCATAAATATCTTTAAAATGGTTTTGGATCTTAGATTTAACTTCTTCAATGTCAGAACAAATAGGAAAAATTAAGTTTATTATTCTGATAACTAAAACATACTTATCACAATAAAATTGATCATATAGGTAGAAAAGCAGTATACTTGGTATTTGTGATGTATCCTCTTTCTCCAGATGCTCACAAAACCTTCCACCTTTACTTTTCTTCAGCTTAAAGCCATTTTCTACAAGTATGGAAATGACTTTTACTTTGAGAAAAAAATATATTCTTTTGGTAAAAATTCTTATTCCCATCCAATATTGCTTTAGCTCAGTTTCTGTAAAGTAAAAAACACTTCAGCACACTTTGATAAATTCTGAATCCAATACATTCTGTTAAAAAAAAAAGTGGTGAGCATCTACTGTATTCAGTGCCATGAAAGTCACCAGGGCTAGCTACAATGTCAAATAATACAGAGAAGATCCCTCTTCCCAGAATATCTGGGCTGTTCAAAATTGCCAAAGTCATAGAGAAAATGTTGAGAAAGAAAAGAAATGTGTTTTGAAGAAATTTTTCAGAGGGACATAATGACAGACTTAAGTCTACATTAAAAACTTAGTCCATACACAAACTAGGGGCAAGAAAGCTACAAAAAGCCAAGTTGGATGTAGTTGTATCATTCTGATCTTGAAATGTCACTCTTGTGGGAGGCAATAAAAAAATTACAGAATACACACTAATTTACTGCTTTAATCTTCTCATGTCCCATTGTATATTATCAGTTGAAGAGTCTATGTTGTGCCCTATATTGAAAGACCAAAAGGACATAGGGCACTTTCATTTGCTACATGAAAACTATTCACTGAAAGAGGAAGTAACATTGTTTTGTTTTTCCAGGAGATTGAACCTAGGCGGATGGGTAGATTCATGCTATCTATAGATCACAATTATCTAAGAAGCTTTCTTGGGCTCACTTCTTGTAAATGTTTAAGCAAAAACCAAATGTCCCCTTCTCAGAAATCCTTTTACTCCAGTGACTTTAAAATTGAGTTATATCTCTACAAAATTTCAGAAGATCCGTTGATTTTGTAAGGTACACATATTCAGCAGTAAAAAATAAAAAGTATGCCTTTCCTATAAAATACACGTTAAAAATGATATTTGAGTGCTTTAAAAATGTGAATTCTCAAAAGCTAAATATTGTAGTTGGCTTAGAATTTAGTAGTATCTGAGTAAATGAGCCTCAGTGTTTTCATTTCTTAATTAGGAATAATTAGAACTGCCTCTGACTTTTGTATCGTGTGTGTGGTTATAAATTGTTTGGTCTTTGAAATGTATAGGATGTTATATCCTTTTTATATAATTCTTCCAGAAAAGTATTTGAAATTTCATTTAAAGCATTAAAAAACTAATGAGAGAAACATAGTGTAGGAACTGGGGAGGAGGTAAAATAATATGAGGCTGAGCTCAACTTGAGGCAAAGAACTGTCTCAGAAGATCCTGTATAAATAACAGTTCAGGATTATGGACTTAACTACAAACTACCGAATTAGTGACAAAAACAAGGGAGAAATGCTATCAGTTGTGAGGTTCCCCAGGACTATACTGTTAAGAAAGAAACAGACTTTTTTTTTTTTTTTTGAAGCGCTGAGTTTCCTTACAGAGCAGATCCATGATACAGAATAACAATGTCTGACAGCTTTTGATAAACACATTTGCAACTCATAGTGTTCCTCAATATAAGATAAGGAAGTAATATTGAAACGTGATTCAGTTAATACTTTTCTACATAGACAAAACCATGTTCCTTCAACATGCCATTCTATGTTGAGTGTTCACTTGTATCTCAGGATGAATTTACTTCGTAGAGGAAGGAATGATCTGCATAGCGTTTAAGGAATCTGCAATAAATACAGGTCCTCATACACTATTCAGTGTAAACCTTTTTCATCTAAAGGCAAGTTCTTGTGCCTTAATGATCACACAAAAAGAAAATAGTTTTTGACACATTCATAATGAGAGTGAAGGAGAATAAATCAGAAAAAAAAATCATTGTTATCTGTGTGTGGATAGCAATGCATGTTCAAAAGAAGGTTCACTTGATATGAACTTAATTTCAGAAAGGGGACTCTTGCCTTTTTGAGCATTATCGTGATAATTCATAAATATTTCTTAACACTTTCGAGACTGAGCATATTATGACTTCTAACGTTCAATGGGACAAGGGAGGTTTTGGGGAGAACGTTCTGATGTTGTGCTTTGGTTTGGGTCTTATTTGTTCATGTAGGGTCAGAGCCAATTCGCAGAGCAGGCAAGAGTGGCACCTCCACACCCACAACCCCTGGATCAACTGCCATCACTCCTGGCACCCCACCAAGTTACTCTTCACGCACGCCTGGCACTCCTGGAACCCCTAGCTATCCCAGGACCCCTCACACACCGGGAACGCCCAGGTCTGCTGTCTTGGTGCCCAGTGAGAAGAAAGTCGCCATCATACGCACCCCTCCAAAATCTCCTGCTACTCCCAAGCAGCTTCGGCTCATTAACCAACCACTGCCAGACCTGAAGAATGTCAAGTCCAAAATCGGATCGACAGACAACATCAAGTACCAGCCTAAGGGGGGGCAGGTAAGAATCGTGTGAATACATATTTGCTGCCGGACATAAGGTCTCATTCATTGTTATGTTCCCTTCCTCATATTATATGCTGACAACTCTTAAAGGAGAGGTGGTGATATTAAAGAACTACTGGTTACAAGTTATTGCTAAGAGTTTGGACTTTATCTGAGAAAGCTAGCCTGTAAAATGTAATGAAATTGACATGATATGTCCATTTCTTCTGGTTAATATTGGATAAAAATTGGTTTAACAGTATAGGAGAAACGTTTAGTTGATGGACTGGCAGATCTCTTCTGAATGTGTCTCTATTGCTTTTTGAATTTTAATTTAAGACTAAAGTTACATTTCTGCTATAAATTTGAGTTTTCTATTTTAGATTCTGACCAGGAGCTCATTTGGCTTTCTTTTAGTGATTCCAATTTCATCTGCCTCCCCAAGGATTTCCTATGACATTTTCTACCATTGCCTTATGTTCATTCCAAAATAAGAGAATGTTTGACCAAGTTTGTTCTCTGGCTACTACTGTCTAACCATTGCATAGGATAGGTATTCATGGCGATAGTAAATAGTCAACCCTGTATGGTTCTGATGAATGAAATTGTAGCCTTTGAACTTCTACTTAAGGTTAATCATATTGAATCAAGTTACTAGTAAAGCTCTCTTATTAACTCTTAACTTCAATTCCAGAGCAAACATTCATATCTTTCCAATCAGGGGGCTTTGAGTTCTGTCTTGACCTGAGCCTTGCTTATACAGTATATGTTTGGACAAAGCAATTAGCCTGGAAGGAAATCTTCCAAATATTATTTAACATTTCTCTTATAATATTTATCTACTCAGAGTAGTTTGACTTTTGTCATTGAAGATATAAAAGAAAGCATCCACTCTTTGAAAGAAGGAAAAATTCAGAAACCTTGTATGTGAACTCGTAATGCCTTCTCAGTGTTCCAAGAAAGCCTTTTCTTTTTAACCTCAATATTTGTTTTTGCCATTCTTTTTCTTGTCTCTTATATTTTCCACCACTGATTTATGGTATCCTTCCTTCATGCCAAAGAAAATCTATTTTCAGGCAGGTTTAGAAGAAAGAGCTTGCCAAAATCTAAAGCTATCGAGCACTCCTACTCATCGCTGAATGAAAAATTTAATGTTGCTCCTTCCTTTAGCAACAGACTTCTTTGCTGTCTCATTATGATTCTCTTCAAGAAAACCCAAGGAATTAAAAAAAAAAAAAAAAAAAGACCAAAGGACCAGAAGGGGAGAGATCAGTATGCCCTTTTCAGAACGGTTATAACATTCTATAGTAATATAGTCCATAGAAAGATGTTATAAAAAATATGAACTACAATAAACATTTTTAAGCAAAAAAAAAGAAAAAGAAAAAGAAAAATTCTACCAAATTTAAGCCTATAATTACAAAAAATTCAAACTATTCTTTGTGTTCAGTAGAGTTTTGCACATCCAAAAGATGGAAATATTTGAGATCTTTTATGTTGCATTTTTTAAATATTCTTACATGAATAATTTAAAATAGTAAATGTAATACAATTACTCTGTTATCTTTGGAAAGTTCTTTATTTTTGCTTTTGATACGACATCCTTTAAAATAGAGTGATTGTCATGCAGATTTAAAAATTAATTCGCTTTTCACAAATATCCCCATACCTAGGTACTTTTCTTGACTAAATGCGGAGTTTACTTGCTCATATTCTGGGAAATGTTGATACTTCAAAGAATCTGTTTTTCTTAGAATCACAAGAAAATATGTTCAAGATAATTTCATTTTATTAAAACTAAAAAATGTAATACAAAGGGAAAAGTTGTTATAATTTGACCTAGAAATTTCACAATATTTGATTTTTTTTCAAAGGACTCCTTGAGGTAGAGATGGAAAAGAGTGGTTTTAGTTTCAGCTTTGCAAGAATCTCTAAGGTTAAATCGATCCAAAATATATGGAGACATCTGTTTTTTTTTTTCTGATTCTTTATCATAGCTGGTTTATTTTTATGTCTAATTTTAATGACTTCTACTATATTTGGTGATTCATAAAATTGATATAAAAAGTCTTATTCATGTGAGCTAAACTGAAACTTCCCTAGAGATTATGCTAGTTAAGAACTAGTAAAGACATATGACCAAAAAAAAAAAAAAAAAATCATGGAAAGAATAAAAATAGCCTCAAATCACACTGTTATATGAAAGTGCCTTTTTTCATCAGGCAATTGGTAACCTGCTTCAAAATTACCCTATCACAAGCATCAGATGACTTGGAAAAAATCCGCAATGGTGGAGTTATGAAGTGACTTTTTTTGCAGAAGCAGGAGGTAGTTCCTCACCAAGATAAACATATGGAAGATATTTGAGATGGCATAAATGCATTTAAATTTGAGGGTAAAATGAATTAGGAAATCAATATGCAACTCAATTGGACTGTAACTGTCTTTGTAGGAAAAAATATAGCATTTAACACTTCAGTACTATACCCTTAAAAGCCTTTACAGTGTATGATCTCAGATACAGGGAGTTAGGAGAAGTATTTTTCTGTACAGGTTAAACTGGAGGTTTTGACTGCATTGCTTGAGCTCCCATTTCATAAAATGACCAGGGGGAAAATGTATTTTAGAGCTTCTTAAAAATTATCAAGATGATATGCTAAAGACCTTGTTATCTGATTAAGTATCTTTAAGCACACACTGTTGAAGAAATTAAAGCCGCTAACACATTGTTCCCAGTTGTAAATTGATTATCCTAGGATATTTGAATGGATCACGGCCAACTCAGAAGCATTGCAAAGGATAGGACTATAGACCCTATATAGAAAGTCTACAGGAGACAGGTTTTGTAATAGTGATATGTAGTCTCTAGGTGTTGAGAAAAATACCCGTGTAATTATCATTCATGAAGCTGAGAGTAAATTTGAAGTTGTAACTTTAATATAGGGGTCCCCAACACCCCTGGACTGGGGACTGGTACCGCTCATGGCCCATTAGGAATCGTTTGTCCTTTGCTTCATCTGATATAGTCTCTATATTGTAACCAAACCTTTTCACTATGCTTCCCATTAACCATTCTATTGTATAGTTATTTAATGTCTATCTTGTTTCACCAACTAGGCCATAAGCTCCATGAAGTCAGGGATGAGGTCCATGTTGTCCTCAGGGTCTCAAACATAGTAGGTGCTCAATAAATAGTTATTCCACATAAATTAAATAAATGTAGCATACCATGTTCATAGAAGGAATGTATTATATCTAGTGACATTGTTTACTGATTGTGAATGTCTTATGGCCATAATAATTATCATCCAAAAGAAAACCTTCATGTTTGGATCGCAATGAATTTTGGCCAAAAGAACATTGGACCAGGATTTGAGTTGAGTTATTGGTTCAGTTCTTCTATTAAAGTATTGTGTGACCTTGATACTGATTTTTATGATCCTCTGGTTTCTTATTTGTAGAATAGAAACAAGAAAATAATACTCATTTTTGTATATAGCACCATTTCATTTCAGTAGACTCTGAAGTCATTTTAAGTTCTCAAACACATGATTCTACATAAAATATGACAGTACTTTTGCATTACAGCTCATCAAAAAACATTCATTTAAGTATTCTAATAAATTTGTGCTACAAAGGGCAACTTGAAGTTGAGTAAAAGAGCAGTATTTCTAAAATAGGAGTGTAATTAGAGAAGGGGGAGTGACAGAGAGGGGAAAAGGAAGGGATAAAATTTGTGAAATATAATGTGAAATATTTTATATATTTTTATAAAGTTTTATCAGTTATTCTCAAACTATATTTTTTATAAACCATTTTTAGGCCTTTTACATTCTGAGTAACTTACCTTTAATTTTATCTTCAAGTAAAAAAATTTAATTAATTCTGGAGGCAACTAATAAATTATAGTGAAACAGGATTTTCCCCCATTATATAAAATTATGATGATTATCACTATTAAAGTCTACTGGGTGCTATTAATATATAGGTATGTATATAAAATATAAGATGAGAGAAAGATTGAACAGGTTTTTTTCACTCACATATTGTTTGATCAAATATGTACTAAAACTAAAGACAGTGAGTACTAAATGACACAGGGCGGAATAGAAGGCGATGAGGCCTGATGTCTACAATCTGCCAGAAAGGAGACTTTTGGTGTGTTTTTTTTAATGTTCTTTCTTTTTTTTTTAATGTCTTGTCCATATTTAATTTTAAGTTCTTTCTCAGTCATTTCTCCCACCTCCGTAGGACTATAATAAGTGTGAAATAAAAGGAATAATAAAATACCCTGTGAACTTTAAAATACTGTCAGTCAACCCAGCATGAAGAAAAACTATCCACTGAAATGCATCATATTATATTGACAAGGTTTTTCTTTTGTTTTGTTTTGGTGTCAAAGTCATCATTATCTCAAAATGATAATGATAGCTCCTTAAGTTCAGACACCCTGTCTTTATGCAATCAAATTTTGTAGCTATCATTCAAATGTCTTTTGTAGGGTAATGAAAAGTTTGGGAGCTAGGATTAGTAAGTATTAATTATTTAAAATTAAGAAAAAATATTACTTTGGGTTTACAAAGCTGAGACCTTTTTGTGTGCTGTTCATTCACAGCCATGTCCATGAGTACATGGGAAGGAGCCTTGAATCTCAGGTTATTTTCAGATAACCCAGCAGACTATTTAAAAACTATTTTCTTCACTGACTTCAACTATTCCTTAGAATTTCTTAAAAATCTAAACTAAAGAAGAAAGTTAATGTTAAGAAAGTATAATATAGAGCATATGCTGTAGTATGTATAATATATGTAGTACATAATGTCAAGAAAACATCGTACAGAATTTGAAACAGTTCATTATCTGCTTGTTTTCATGAATTTCACACAGTGCTTATAATGTTCCTTTCAGCTCCCAATGAGAGATCACTTAGAAATATTTAACAATGGATCTGATGCCTACACTCATTAATGTCTCTTCCACTTTCACTTTACTTAAGCATCATCTATTCATCCCAAGGTTTTTTTTAGTGTGGGTTCTACTTTATGTGCCATGTGGCATAGCCTGCATAGGAAAATCTGTTCCTGCAACTTATCATTTTACTTTAGAGTGTTAGCAGAATTGTGCAATTTGACATAAGCTGTAGTTCTATTTGATACATATTTAAATATGTTTATTGTTTGTATCTGACACAAAGAGTTTTCAAGAATTATTTAAGTGTAGGCAGTGCTGACTAAAATTCGAAATGGGCCGTAGGTTTGTATACCTGAATGCATTTTAACCAGAGTGCAAAGTTTTAAACAGATGAAGCTTAAGAACATCATCTGTACCAAAGAACTTTCAGTCTTCAGGAATATCTGATGTAAGTCATATTTTGTTTTAGTATGGGAAACCTCAGGATTTTAGAGGCTAGATAAATAGTTTTCATTACATTAAATGTTACATAATAGGAAAAACTTTTGAGAGAGACAGAAAGATGTTTTTGTAATACAAGGACAGAGAAGGACTCGATTTTAAGCACTCTTGAGAAATGATGAAAACCCCCAAAGGAGTTTAAACCCCTGCAAGGTTGAGGGAGAAGTCAGTTGTGTCACTGTCTGCCACCCTTTCACAAAAGCATTCTTCCCAAGACAACATCAGAGAGTGAAAGAGAGACATGATGTTGCAGCAAAAGCTCATACCTAAAGGATGTCTGAGGGTTAAGGGAAAAAAAGCAGCATCAGAGTGTCAAACGTTTTTCAAAATCAGAATCTTACTGCTCAAGAAATTCAAGTTGACATTGGGGTAAATGCCTCTGGCTTACAAACTGTTTTACTGAAAACTTTACATTAGGAATGTATTTTCTTTCATTTTACATGTTTCATATTTCCAGTTAGCCAGTAAGAAAGATCTGTTCTTGTCCACAGGCATATACTGCATTTTGTCTTTCTATCCTTTCCTGGGGCAAACACTTTTTAGGGGAAAAAAGGTTTAATTTATCTAAAGGAACAATTAAGCGTATATGCAGAGAGCGTCCAGTGGCAGATCATTTCCATTAAACCCTCATGATAAAATCCAAGTAGAGTCATACAAAGAATATCCAGAAAGTCACGACAATGTTCTTCCCTATTGTAGTTGAAGAATAGATAGATAAAATTAAAATAAAGTAATTCTGACTAATGTTTTAACTCCAGTAGCGTACACTTACACTACTCTTTATGCCATACGACCTTTGTGTGAGTGAAAAGTTGACTGTTTATGCAAGGAAATCATGAATATCTTCATAAGATTTATGAGACTAAAATCCTTTTTTGGCAGCTCCCACTGGAGGCATTGATTGGGTGGGGCTTGAAGACAGATCTGTTACAGGCTCAAGTTGGAATGATGCTTTCTAGAAAGAGATAATAACGTAAAGTAAGCACAAGATAACAGATAAATTCCAAAGTCAGAGTTACTGAGAACTCTGGTTGCCTCCCTAAGAAATAGGAAGTTTGGGGAAATATTAAATAGGGCAGAACTTTAAGAAGATGGCCCGATTAATTAATATATTTTACTTCCACTGTGAAGTGTGCAGAAATGATGATCATTGCACTCTTTTAAATTACCCTATTTTGTGTTAATAGTGCAAGTAAAAATGTTGGTTTAAGTAAATTAACTAAGATTAAAATGTCGTTTAGAGATAATCCTGCGTAATTATTATTCAGATTTTTTTTCTTCATACCATGAGCATAGAAATTTAGTTCATTTGGTAAATAGAAATTTGTCAGGTTTTTTTTCCTAGACAATCTCTAAAATGTTAAGATAATTTTTCTTGACAAAGGCTTTTAGGAAAACAAAAGGTTTTCTAAAACTGAAAATTCCTTCCCAGAGAAGTAAATTTGAGTTTAGATCCATAGAACCCAGAAAGTTAAAACTAGTCTTTGATTTAAAAAAAAAAAAAACTACTCAGAAATATTGCCTTTTCCTTCACAACAGCCATCTACTTTTCTGTCTTGTGGAATTGCTGATATTTGCAGAATTATTTCTCAGGTGTTAATTACTTGTAAATACCCCTAGAACTCTTTGGTGTGAAGTAATTTGTAATTTTGCTAAAGCCTAAATGTGAGTCACATGGGCTGTCTGGGTACTCACGTACAAGTTTGTCAAGCTGGAGTGTAAATCTTACCAAGCATCAAGTACCTACTGTTCAAAGTGTTTCTGTCTCTCTCTATTCAACCAGTAAGCAAGATAGAATATGAAGGTCTAAAGAGGCTATTTATATTTATGCTGTCATAATTTGCCTCATCTTAGACAAAAATATTATACTATGGAGATATCGCAATTCAGAAATGCAATACAGTATTTTCTTTACAATACAGTAAAGGATGTGCCAGGGATGCAGACGAAGGGTCTTGTACACATTATAGGTTGAGTAGACGTAGGTTAAGAAAGTCTACCATCAAAAAAGTCCAGTTAGTTGTTTCAATTTTAAAAATTCATGACTTTCCAGAAAATCTGTATAAAATCAATAAAAGAAAGTTGTAAGATTTTAAGATTCTAAATAATGTTGACAATGTAACCATTTAGTATTGAATCATTTGTTTTGGAAATCATAAAGATTGTTAAACTGTTCATTAAACCTTAAGGTCAAACAGATTTATGAAACTGAATTTGGAACTTCCATTTATGTAACAAGTGAATCAGATTTAATGTTTGGCTTTTGATCACTTGGCAATGAGTCACTTGATCAGTAAATTAAATGATCTAATGATCTCTAAATTAAAATTTTTAGACAAAATATGAAATCCTGTATATACTCAAGGATTACTAAAAGAGTTCACATGAAGTCTATTTCATTGCCAAAATAGTTTGATACTCATGGAGAATAACTTAAAGTATTATCATTTAGAAGTAACAAATCAAAATTATTTGCTTTCTCCCATCCAAGTACTAACCAGACCTGACCCTGCTTAGCTTCTGGGACAAGACGAGATTGGGCACATTTATGGTGATATGGTCATAGATAAAATTATCTGCCTTCTGAAAATAACTTGTCTATGAAATTTTTAATGTAATGATCTCTATTGGTTTAAAACTATCAGCATTTATAGCTTATGTGGAACTTTTATAGGCAACTACACTTACTGTTAGATATAGACTCTGTGATACCTTCAACTCTGTTCAAGATAGAATTTTTATTATGCCCCAAAGGGTAGCTCAATCATTCAGTCTTCTGAATTCAAATGTTGACAAGAGGCCCTTTCCTTGGGTTGCTGATGAAAGCTGCCAGTGATATTTCCCTGCAAGGGACAAGCTGTCTTGTCTATGTTAGGAGGCACTGCAATTTAAGTTTTGCCTGGTTAAAAATAGTCAAGATTCAATGTCCTTCTGAATTTTTCATTCTTTTCTGCAAATACCAAGAGATGTGTTAACATTCTTGTAGATGACTGTGTATCAAGGGTAAATGTATCTGGTTTTGTTTTGTTTTTTGTTTTTAGTAAGAGGATAAGCTGTCCCCTAAAGCATTGAAGATGTGATTTTCTCTTTAGCTACTGCAGTGGCAGGAAGAGGGGAAAATAGCAGTAGCCAAAGTAAAACAGAACAAATAACAATAACAACATCAATAACAAAAATAAACTTTTCTTTTCATGCTTACGTTGCTTACTTGTCCTCTAAAACATGCAAGGTTCAGAAAACAAACGAAAGAAGTCACAAGAGTTATGACATTGCACGTTACACCAGAATAATGTCTTTCCAGATCTGGATTTGCTGTTTTCTTCACGATGAAGGCTTGACTTCCTGAAAACAGAAATAAATCACCTAACCTCAAATCTGCTGGACCCAATCAAGGCCTGGGACTATGTCTGTATGACCTAGTACAAGGCAGCTAATGAACCTTGGTTTTCTTTCCTTTCCTCAAGGAAATAGAGCTTCCATGTGATTATCCATGGAAATTGGCTGCTCTTGAGCAGTTGCCAAAGGAACCCTTCAGAAGGCCACTGGGCCAAACTTGCAAGGGAATCGTAAAGTCCTGTTTAGCAGAGCAAACCCGGAGTCTCTTTGTTGACCCTTCCAGGAAACCAAGGGTTCTTCTCCTGGGTGAATGAGGACTCTGACCTAGGTCATTCAGCCAGACTATTTGTGAACCTCACTTGTGCTACGGGAACCTATAGAACAGTAAAGTCAAGTGTACAAGGTGATTAATAATCGTGATGGCTAACACTGAGGAGTTGGGGAAATGGGAATAGCTTTTAGGATCCTGTACTGAACAAGATTGAGCATTCACTACTATTGAACCTTACCCAGAGAGAACCTGAATCCCAGTGTTGCCTGCATTGGGCACCTCCCCATCAGAGGTTATTCAAGTTTTATTGTTCAGTCCCTCTAATTGTTGCCAGATCATACTTAGGTACAACTGGGGTGCCTGGGGCTCTCTAGCATTTGGCCCTTTGGGGTGCAGAGAAATAAGGGTTCATATTTGCATGGTAGAATTTTGCAGTGTTAGTTTCTCCCTTAGACAAATACGTAGGTGGAAGTGAGTTTGATGCTACACATCCTGGTTCCCTATACCCAGCATCTTGAAAGAAAAATGCACAGTGAAGTTACCTCCAATTCCTTTTAGGTTAGGATTTTAAACAAGAAGATCGATTTTAGCAAAGTTCAATCCAGATGTGGTTCCAAGGATAACATCAAACATTCGGCTGGGGGCGGAAATGTAAGTAGAAGCATCTCTGAGAACACTGTCCTGATTGTGTGGAGTTACCCGCACAGCCAGCACCCTGCCTCCTCTCCTGCCACCTTCCCAGCACACTCCTCCCTTCTCACTGCTGTTCCACATGTCCTCTGATGTGGTAGCTTGTCAGCCTCTCGTTTTCAGTGATCAGCTTCCTCTCCTTTCCTTGTAAGATCATCAGCGAACCTTTTGCTTTCGGCTGGAAAGGAAAACCTTGGTGGAATGTGCCATCGTTTTCTGGAGGATGGCAAGCCCACTTCACTTGCCAACTTTGTTTGCTGGCCTTTTTGTCTTCAAGGAATTTCTTCATGCTGTCTCTACTTCCCTGCAAAAGTCAGCTGGGCACACACTTTTCTAACTCCGTTTAAATTACCCTTGAGGCAAAGACTGATATACTTGTAAATGCCCAAAGTATGTAATGTCAATCTTCAGAGGTTCATTATTCATGAAAGTTAGGATATCATTTTAGAATAATACAAAACGGGTGAAGCATGGTTCATCTATAATTCAAAGTGAAAGGATTCAAGTCCCAGCATACACTTTATCTTGATGGAATTTTTTTTCCTGTCCCTTTCATTTAATGTAAATAGTATCCTATGGGAGGAAAGGAGAGATGAATCCATGTTTCTCAAGTGAAGTTGAAGCAGATTTGAAATGGTCAGGCAAGCTCAAGCTAAAGGGAGCATGGTTCTTTATAAAATAAGAATAAATTTTTAAAGGTGAATCAGGCTGACTATGTGACAGATCCTGTCACCTAAACATCAGGTTCAAATAATTTGTGACTCAAGTAACTTACAGCATATCAAAATTAGAATTGTCATCTGTCTAATAACTGTTGGCTATTTGCTCCTCAACTGGGCAGAAGTGGAGTCAAGCAGTGAAGAGAGAGAGACAAACAAAGTGCCTTCTACAAGGAGCTGTCACCTGATCGTCAAAGTAACTTCACTGAGCATAAAATATCACTATCGTGGAAAGTCAGTAGCCTTGTTTGCTGGGCTCCTTCAAGGATGCTTGGCTAAGCCTTAGAGTCAGTCTTTACACTGGCAAGGTTGCAACTCCTCCCCGTTTCCCTGACTGTAAATCACACCACTTGGAACTCTCACAGAAGGAACCCCAGTCCTTGAGGGTATTTGAGGATGGGCTTGGCTATCCTCTACTGCAAGTGCTGCTGGTAAAAACACCTAAGTAAAAAAGGATAAACTAGGTTAACTAAAGATTTTTAAGTAACTGGGGAGCTTCAGTCCCCAAAACAATAGTCTTATGCTTTCCTGTGGAAAACGTTCACTTGTTCCAATGCGCAGAGTGCATTCCCATATATTCTGGTGCAGACGACATTGGGCCACACTTGGAGAAGCACTGCTCCAGGTAGTGGGAAAGGAAACATTTTCAGTAAAACACAAAAAAGAAAAAAATGTTGCTCTCATTTGTAATCTGGTGTGCAATAAAAATTTTTATCTAGCTGAGATATGACAATTTAATAGCAGTTTAGGAAAGCACATTTAGAACTTTCTTCTTGTGTCTTGAAGCAATGTTGGTCTTATAATTTTGAACAACATTGCTCACTTTTATGAAAAAATCACTTTGTAAAAAGTAATTTATCTCTTCTCTTGGCTCTTTGCTTATGGAGAGGTTTAACACAATGTTGCTTAATTCTCAGAGTAGAACCTTGCCTTATTAATACAAGTGTTTCTGTCTACTAGTGGCATGATTTACTTTCAACTAATAAAATATTCTATTTCAGGGTTTTCTTGCACTTGGGTCCTTCTTTCCAATCCAAACATGTGGAAGAACATATGGAAAATTATGTCTTCCTCTGTGTGTGTATTTCAGCTTGGCCTTTTAGTTATGCTGTTGTATGTTACGAGTTTGGGTGTGTTTCTAGATTTTACGTGTAAACTTAGGGGTTTTGTCCTTGTTTTAACTATTTTAAGTATGTTTTATGTGGTTCACATAGGTACAAATTGTTACCAAGAAAATAGACCTAAGCCATGTGACATCCAAATGTGGCTCCCTGAAGAACATCCGCCACAGGCCAGGTAAATAAATACTTTTTAATAGCTTGAGAAATATTTAATTGGACTAAGAAAATTGACAAGCAATTTTTTATTGTTGTGAAATTCCTAATTGGATGTTTCAAAATTCTTACACTTTATACTTTTATTACTAGAAACAAGTTAGAAATTTCGAGGCATCTTCATTTTCAACAAGTGAACCCAATGACCATGAATAGGCCACACATCATAGAACAGGTTAAAAATTAAAAGGTACATAAGATACATTTATCTTTATGTCCTCAACATGCTTACTGGAGCCCTTTTGAAATATGTAGTCTTTTATGACCAGCAAGTCATATTCTATAGTAGTCTGTAAAATTCATTGGGTCATATATTCATATGCACTAACATTGACTGAAAGCAGTTCCAAAGATAATTTTTTATAAAATTGTTTTTCTGCAGTATGTAAAACAAGGATTGTACTTTCTTTGCAAAGTTGAAAAAATGAGCTTATCTGAGGATTTTGTTAGATCCCTTATTAAGACACTAAGCAATGTGACTCCCCAGCATAATACAGTCTTTTCTCAACTTATTTGATCATGGAGCTCTTTTGTTTTTCAGAATATCTTAGGACTAGTGCTCTAAAATAGAATTTGTATTCATACTTGCTGGTATCTTTTCTCTTTAAAATGTGATGGTAACATACTAGGAGTCATTCTTTCTGAATATGATGTATTATGTATTTTTTGTTAAATTCTACCTCCCTATATATGTAATAATGGATAACTATCAAATTTGTAATTTTCTTGATAATAGTTTGACAATATTTATCCCGTTGAATGGTAGAAGGATGAAAAGAAAGCAGTTGGTTTTAACTATCCATGCTTGGCATCTTAACATACAAACCAGGTAATAGGTTGTTTCCATTAATCTTTGTGTCAAAAGTTGTCAGATACGAGGTATAAATAACAATTGAGATTAATGAGATGTCAGACCAGAGAATTATTAAGAATTTATGGATTGAAAAATAAAGATAGGTAGGATAAGGTTCACATTAGAATAAATGCATTGAAAATGTATAGAAATTAGAATTTGTTTTGTCAAAGGATATTCATAAAGCAATCAAAGAGTTAGAAACTACATATATGGAGTCATCATTACTGATTTCAGAACTGCTACCATGGACAGCTTCTCTGTCATTCATGAAGAAGCAGGGATGTGGTCCCATAGTACATATCTTCCAAAGTCTGCAAAAAACTGAATTGACTTTGTACTGACATATCAGCAGTATCACTGCCTGTTTTCTTGCAGAATACAAAAGAAAATGCTGGACTCTAATTCCTGACAGTAAGGATGCTGTTAGTCAAAATCATCTGAAGTCTGGATACACAGAAAAATCTTATATGGATAAGGATGTATTCTGTGTATGATTTGTTGATCATAAAAGGCTGTTATCATGGACTCACATGGGTTTCTAAATCTAGCTCTTCTAATATCACTGAATCAAATGGCTAAATCAAAGAGAAGTGTTTGTATGGTGATCTTTGACAACAGCTAACTTTTCACAAAGTTACTCTGGAATATAGAATATCTAAGGAGAATATAAAATAATTTAACACCTGGAGGCACACATTGAAATATGTGTTATTCCCAACTTCACTTATAAAGCTTGTCAAAGATAGTAGTCATTAACAATTACTGCTCCTGGGTGTGTGTGCCACAATTCTTCAAAAATGGGGCATAGATCTCTAAAGTCTAGAGCTCTGGATTCTCCAACAGTTGGAGCATTTCTAATGGAACCTCACCAGAAATAGACTTCTCAAGTTTCCTTTCTGAATATATTTTGGGTCAATATTACATTATCAATTTTCCCTCTCAAAAGAGTTCAGCAAAAATGTAACAAGATTATATTGACACAATATATAATCATAAAAAAAGCAATTTCTGTCAGAGACTACCAAAAATACAAAATAAGATCCCAAAGAAGTCGCTCTCATCTCAATAGTCCAACATTCTCTAGCCTCTAACCAAGACAAGTCTGTTTGTATGAATCGTTATGAGACATACTAAGCTCATCACAATCAAGTGAGATTCACATGGCCAGGTAAAATGTGGGAAGAATAACACTCCATCACATGATGCATGTTTTGAAGAAAGAATAACTACATCTTTTTAAAGCATGAGTTAAATAACATCATGTACTTTCAAAACCATCAGGAGAAGAATGAATGCATCTTTCTCTAAAATGTAATCTGATAACACCATATAATTTCAAGAGGCTCTGACCAGGCAGTTGGGCACGATCATAGGTATCTAGGTATTGCATGAGAATAACACCACAAGGCTGAAGAGACCTGTCCTTAACAGACCTCCCTCTTTGGTCTACAGAGATACATGAGCAACAAGAATCCAAAACTGAAAATTCCATTTCATGTTTTTATAGAACCCCTCAAGCATTTTTTTTTTTTTTCCAAATCAAAATCCCAAGCAAGATGCAATGATTGTGGAGGGCCACATCACTGTCCCCTGACTTTCAGAAGAATGCATATAGTCAAAACCAAGCTGCTGATTAAAGTGAAAGCAAATCTCTTAGATGAAGATGAATAAATGAAGCGTCTGATCCAGCGTCTTTCCAGGTCGAAGACATCGGCAGACATTCAGAAGTGGTCAAGGACAGGCAAAAGGAGAACTAATGTACCCAGTGTAGAAGAGCTCCTTATATTTGAAAGCCAGATCAAGAGCTGCAGGGTTGGAGAAGACTACACTGCAGGGTGGAACATGGCACTCTCACCCCTCTGATTTATTGGGTTAGATATGGATAAGGAAGTAAGATATTATTACGTGAAGCAATCCATGTAATAGTCTAAGAAGGATGCCTTGATTTGGGATCCTATCGGGAAATGGTATGGACTAGAAATTCTAAAAGATTCTTTTTACATTGATGGTCAGAGGAATAGTATAGTTAATAAACTTGTGGTTTGCAGTAGTCTATCTACTATCATCATTTTGGGGGGAAGTAGTCACTACACAAACAAGCTATAATTTTAGCAAGGCATTTAAAAGCCTTTTTTTCCCCCTCATAGGTGGTGGGCGTGTGAAAATTGAGAGTGTAAAACTAGATTTCAAAGAAAAGGCCCAAGCTAAAGTTGGTTCTCTTGACAATGCTCATCATGTACCTGGAGGCGGCAATGTCAAGGTAAGAAACAAGGTCATGAGCCACTCTTGTCCTTTTTTTAAAAAAAAAAAAAATTCTGAAATACTCTATCAAAATAGGTCTCAGATCGAAGACTTGGACAAATAAGAAGTAGGGCTGACAGAGCTGAACAGAAGTCACATTCACATCAGCTCTGGGGTACAGAGACAGAGCTAGGGGCCAGATAAGATGTTTGAGTTAACAAGGACTGATGCTTGTCTTAAACAGATTGACAGCCAAAAGTTGAACTTCAGAGAGCATGCTAAAGCGCGCGTGGACCATGGGGCTGAGATCATTACACAGTCCCCAGGCAGATCCAGCGTGGCATCACCCCGACGACTCAGCAACGTCTCCTCTTCCGGAAGCATCAACCTGCTCGAATCTCCTCAGCTTGCCACTTTGGCTGAGGATGTCACTGCTGCACTCGCTAAGCAGGGCTTGTGAATATTTCTCATTTAGCGTCGAAGTAATAATATTTAGGCATGAGCTCTTGGCAGGAGTGGGCTCTGAGCAGGTGTTATATTCGTTCTTTACAAACCATAAAATAAATAATCTCATCCCCAAACTGTAGTAATTGTTACAATTTTATATTTAAAAATGAATAGTATATGCAGAAATTGACCTGATTTCCATTTGCAACAGGAAGACACTGGCTTTACATGGGTACACTTGGACAGTTATTTTTGCTCTGCTCTGTTTTGCATGGAGTATTATTATTTTAAAAATTGCATTTTTACCTTTCATGTGCCTGAAGGCTACCCACTACATTCTGAAAGGCCTTGTTAAAATCCAAGCTGCTCATTTCACCGTTCTGTTTCTGAGTGAGAACATAAAAACTGCCCATTGTCACTTTTTTCAGGTTAAATTAAATCAAGGAGTCTGATTGCAGGAAGGGAAGAGCATGTAAGAAATACAATTTTTTAAAGTGTTATTTTGTATAAATGGGAAGAAAGATTCAATTAAGTTATTAACATTTGGGACCTGGATAATTATATGAGAGTATGTCAATCCAATAAATTATTTAACTAATTACAAAATAGTTGGAAAGCATTTGAGCTGTGGTTGAGGAAGGGGTGTAAAAGTGCATCTCTTAGGAACGACGCGCTTGCATTAGGACGGGTTCATGTCTGATTAGAATTATCGGTTTGATCAACTAGATTTGTGTCCACACTACCAGTTTCACGCCCCCTTTCCATCTGTTTGATACAGTATTATAGATATAAATATATATATATATTTCTCTGTGGCCATTTGTGATACTTCCTCATATACTTGAATATTATACTTCTTTATTCACAGTATCTGTGTCTCCTGCACCCTTTGGTGTTAACAATTTTAGGTATGTGAAAGTAGATGTTAGCAGGGTTCGCTCCCTATTGAAAAAAAATACCTTAAAAAGACAAAAAATTTTAGCATGAAGTTGCTTTCTGTAACAACTCAAAGCTGTAACCCTGTTTTAGTGCCAGATACAAATCTCTCCCGTGATGCTAGAAAAAATTATTTTTCTTTGCTTTCACCAACATGGAGTTTGTGGGGTGGGTCCAGTTATACATAAAAGGGTTTACAGATTGTTGGTTTAAGATTATGGATTTATCTCATTTTTAATCATGAATAGTTTGGATTTTATTCCTATGATTATTCATGAAACTAACTTAAGATTTTTTTTCCTTTCTTTCTTTTTTTTCCATTTGCTAAAGTTGAAACTAACCATGGTAGTTTAGAACATGTTTTCCCATGACTTCAAGTAATATCTGTTTATTAAATTCTCTGATAGAAGATATTTGGCTTCCTTACCCAAAGTAAAGATCCCTTGAACAGAAAGGAAAACACAATATTTTGAAAAGCTATAGCTACAAGGCCTTTGAGATGCAGATATCTAAATCCATTTTTTTCCCCAGGACTTCAACATTCCGCTCTGTAAAGGACCACAACGTGACTTGATACACAGTGTGACTTTACATCCAGTCTAGAAATTACAAATCAATGAATTAATGCCTCTCACAAATCATTCATCTTGAACTTAGAAATAAGCAAGGAAACGAAATAGTCAATAGCCCGAATAGGTCAAAGAGTTACCAGATTGATGGACCATTTTCAGTATCTTATCTGTTCTTTTTCTTGCTCAGGACTGGTAGGCTGGACTTGAACAATTAAAGACAAATGGTTCATTAGATGTTTGATCTCTTTGATCCAAATCAATTCCTGAATATAAAGGAAGAAATGATGTGGATGGACTGAAGCAACAAGGAAGTATAGGACCATCTAAAACCAAAACCAAGGGATGCAAAGACAGAGAGACACAAGTGACGTTTTATGACCCAGTGGATATCACAACCAATATGATTGTCACAAGAGAAACCCTGGGAGCAAACACAGACTGTTTATTCTCAGCTGAGAGATTTTACACAACCAAACATGTCTTAAAGTATTTTTTTCAACCTTGTTTAAATTGTTTATAAATATTAAGACTGAGTAAACATATTAAAATTCAACATATTATGTTCAACATATTAATATGTTCAACATATTAAAATTCAGTTTCTTACAAATACAGGCCCAAAATAAAGATTAAATAAGGCACTACATTATTAGATTTGACATTCAAACAAATCTTTCTTTCCAATCACAGCAGAATTATAATGAATACATTGTTCTGGCTTTGTGTGGAAATGCATACAAAGGTTATAAGGTTAACAAAAAGGGACTGGTCATTTGTATCAGTACAAGAGAGAAACACACAGGCTGTATGTCTTCTTGTGGGGTTAAGGGGTGAACCCCAACTTGCCTTCACTCTCAAGATAACGACTCAAATTAAGCTTTCTGAACACCACTCTTGTGGGAACACATACGCTGATCTAGAAATGAAATCTTCATGGTCTCAATTCTAGATCTACTGTTGCCAGTTTCTCTCGGGCTTTAGCCTTGGAGAACCTGTTTAAGAATACGTAAGTAATCCAGAATTATGCAGAGTTAAAAGGCCAACTTCTCTAATGAACTCACTCTCTGGGTTGCCTGCAACCAAAAATTGGATACCTTACAGTGATGCAGGAAAGACCCGAGCTTATGATGAGTTTCAAAGGCCATGTTCATTTAGGAACCAACTCTCTCTGGATACACCTGCTGGGTTCCAGCAGGGTGATGGGCTGACATCCCACCTCCAAGCATGACACCTGTGTAACACCAGCTAGGTATATGGCTGAAGAATGTACTATTCGTGGTGGCCTTGTCACACACACACACACACACACACACACACACACACACACAACACAGCAGGGATGGGATATTCAGACAATATATTATGTCATGTCGGTGATTTATTAAAGAAATAATCAATGTGGTTGATTCTGACATAACTGCAATTACAGTTTTTCTCCTATTTTTCAAGCCACAAAAAGGGAAATAAACTATTCCTGGTCTAAATAGCAAAGATAAGGTAGATTCATGGCCTCGGAAGGCAAATTCTAAGCATTCCTCTAAAGACTGATGTGCTAAAATCAGCATTGAGTTTTTTTACACCTAGGATTTTTGGCCTAGATGTGTAGGTGGAGGCCAAGTCCCTCTGCAGGAGCAAACTTATTTTCAAATTCAGTAAATAAAATGTCAACCATAAAATTCTACTTCAACTTTAGCAAAAAGAAAAAAATCAACAAAAAGTATACTCTGTATGCTGGGATTCCAGGGTTCCAACACACCATTACAAATCTTTGGGAGGTTTCTTTCTTCTGATAATTCTAGAGCCTGTTACCATAGAAAGGCATTTCTTCAATGGCTGGTTGTAGTTAGTTCATGTTTCTCAATCAAATTTGCAAATGTATTTGTTGCTGTATAGTGATTGTTTTGCAAAATAAAATTGCTTGTCACCTAACTGCTAGTTTTAGTTTCAGATTGTCTATTCTTTCATGGGGAAAAAAAAAAGTGTGTGTGTGTGTGTGTGTGTGTGTGTGTGTGTGTGTACGTTGTTTGATCCAGCCAAAAGACAAATTGTGAAGCGAAGGCTACTATTATCTGCAAATTCCTACCATGTGTGAAGCCCTGTATGCTAGATGATTTTATATCAACTCACCTAATTAATAAGGGAATTTGGTTTTTTATCATTACTGTATTAGCAAGATGCTATCTGTTGCAAGTGAAACTCTAAGTCAGCTTAAGCATAAAGGTGAATTTATTGGCTCAAGTAACCAGCTAGACAAGTGTATGTGCCTCAGGCATGGCTGAATTCAGACACTCAAAAGATGTCACCAGAAATCTTTCCAACTTTCGTTCTGCTTCCTCCGCATTTTCGGGCAGGCATTCCTTCCATGATGGGCACCAAAGCTCCAGTTGTCACAACTTATCAAAGAACGCCACCTTCCCAGTAGCACTAGCCAAAATCCAGGATGTGAAATTATGGAACTACTTGGATCACCTGCCCACGTAGGCAGGTTGGCCAGGCTTGGCTTGCAGACCCAACTCTGCCACAGGTGGTTGGGATGGGAAGAAAGTAAGGGGAGAAGTGACCTCATCCGAACTACTTGAGTTAATCATGGAGAGGAAAGGTTTCCTTCCAAGGTAATTCAGACTACTACTGCCAGAAGAGAGAGGAATGGATGCTGAACAGGCCATAAAAAACAGATAGCCATGATAGTCACAGCACTGTTCTCTATCTTTTTTCATTTCTTAGTTCCTGGCTAGTCCAACTGTTCTCAGGCTTCATCAGGGAGCGTGTGAGAAATGCAAATTCTCAGGCTTCCCCCCAGACCAACTTACAACATTCTTATGACATTCTTTGATTCATCAGCACATTACAGTTCAAGAAGCACTCAGTAGTTAGAAATCCAAACTTCACTGGCAATCAGCCTACTTAGGTTGTTAACCCGCACTTGTACCCCACAGCTCTAAATAAAAAGCACTCAGCATATTCCATCCCTGCTCATGTCCTTATGAAGAAAGAGTTCTGTTGCAACCCTCTGATAGATGAAAATGATACATAAGATTATTTGAGGCAGCATCGCGACCTCTGATGTCGAACTAGATACCAAGGAGTAGGAAGCTATGCCTGATAGAAGAAATACTTTTGTATTAGAGGTTTTCCAGCCCTCGAATCACTGTAACTTGGCAAAAACTTAATTTTCTTATCAATGGCATCACTTTTCATTCAGTCTCCCTGTGCTAATAATGCAGATTTTGTAGAACCTAGCAAAACTCATTAGAGTTTCTCTTTAATTATTTATTAAAATCAGCACTCATGTTGTCCTTCAAAGAGTCTTTAAATCACAGGGATTAAGACATTTGTCCCGAAGCACGAATCACAATCAAATTCTTGATTTCTGTTCTTATTAATTAACAAGGCAAAGAAGAATTTATTTACCTTGAAAAGACAAATTAATCATATATATTACAGGATGACAGGATAATATTCAAAGCAACTTACAGAGAAAAATGTTCCTCTTGTGTATGGTGTGGCACTTACTAGTAGAACTATGACTTAAATAATTAAGGGCTAGAATATTGTCAAAAGTACACAGTCTAGCAACCTAAAATTGTTTAAAAACACAAAGTCCTTCGCTTAGGTTTTCTTGAACACGATGAACCATCCTAAACACACTCCTTAAAGCCTCCTTTAAGGCCTCAGCTGTTCCCACTTCTACTTTCTTAAATTCTATAAAAAACCTTCTGGCCTCCAGGCCTGATTGACGTAATAGACCTGTGGCCTCCATATGTGCTTTGTTTGGCCTGCACATTGTTTCCAGATTCAAGTTCACACACACACAGTCCCAGATTTGAATCTTCTTTTGAAAAGTTAATAAATTTGGCAGCACTGGACCTGCCTTCTCCCACGGTAACAGCTGGCTGGAGCTGGTCCATGGGTACCTCTGAGATGGGTCTTATTCCCTTTATTGGCCACTGTGCCCGGCTGTGCTTATTTCTCCCAGCCCACCTCCTTCACTTTTACTCATTGCTGTAGGCATTAGACATCAGATTTAGAGTTTGTAAGTTGTGGGGTACACGTCAGGATTGCATCCATAGCAGTTTAGATACAGTGAAGTGTTGGACCTCTTGTGAAGTTCTGTGTTCTTAAACCCAGAGCTGATGTTCAGGCAACATACACCTTATTCAGCTGTATAAGTTGTTAACTATTGAAAGACTTGCCATGCAAGCCTCCTGCCCCTTACTATTGCCCTCCTTGGCCACCCAAACCTGTTCCCCTGTGCTCCGCAGATGTCTTTAATCCTAGTTTCTACAAAGTTAACATTCAGCACAGTGGAAAGGTTTCAAGATTCTGCTCCAGTCCCTTTCAGCGTCACCAGTGACTACTACTATCCCCCCAGGTCTCTGGAGGACTGGCCTTGGCCTGACCAGCCCAAATATAGGAAGCCCAAGTGGAGGTCTATGCTGGCACCTAGCAGCCTGCTGGCTTGCTACAGCTCTTATTTGCCCATCCCTGTCCCTGCTTTTCCCCACACCTCCAAGTCAGAAGGAGATTGGCACCCCACAGAGGAGACAATGCCCTCGGGGACATGCTGGAAGGCGAATACTAGTGCACATACAACAATACCTTAGCTATGGTTACCTGCTACCAGTCTCCATTCCCTCTTCCTCATCTGGTTGCTTATGAAAACGACAGTCACCACAGGACTTGAACTTTAGCAGTGTGAGAGATGGACAATAGGCACCAAGGAGACCAACAACAGAAGGAGGTTGTGAGCAGTGGGCCCCTTGGGATAATTTGGGGTTAGCAGAGGCTTAAGGTAAAGCCTTTTTATGTTCCATGTGGAAATTCACCGCCATTTTAACCCCACCCAAAGCCCAACTGACGTGGGCATTAACAATATTAATTTTATGCTTGTGGAATGATTGTGGCAGGCATCTTTACAAACATATGCTAACTACGAAGAATACTGAAATTATCAGCATCCTCATTTTCTGGATGAGGAAACCGGGGCATAGTGAGGTCATTTAAAATTCAATGGCAGAGCTGGAATTTGAACCTGAGCAACCCAACAATAGATGTTTTAGCTAATGGATTAGGTTTGACCTAATCAAATACTCTACTAAACAACTTTCATGACAGTCAAAAATAAAGATAGCAAATACATATATGTAAAAATCTGAGTGTTATAAAAACTAGAAAAATGTTTATTTGCTTACTAATTAGCGTCTAATGACAACTTAATTGGAAGTCATTGGAAGAATGTTATGTGATTATCTGTATCGCCATGGCTCATACAAGAACATCATCTAGAGAATGATATCTGAGTCAAGCAAAGATCCACAAACAATTTCTAAAAATTAACAACTTATATTTGGAATTTGTTAGAAAAATTGAATGCACTATTTGTACTAAAGCACATGTAATTCAACAAGCAGTTTCATAATTCATATTGCTTAGAGAATAAAACCAAGTTTTCCAATGTATGTGCTAACTTATGATAGTGTTCCAGCCACTAAATGTTTTAACATCACCTTTGTTTCCAGTACCCAAAACAGCTTTCCTAAAGGCTGCTTTTTCTTTCTGTATAGTGACATTTTTAACAATTCAATGTATTGCTTTTTTTACAAGCATGGCTCATCATTTAAATATTCTTCATGAGAACAGGGATCTACAGTTCATGGCATAAAACATGAGAACTCTTGATTAAGCCTTTGATGCGGGACGCGCACTTCAGACAGCCTTGTTGGATTTTGAACATTAGTAAACAAAAAAATGCTAATATTCATTAGTATCAGAAAACAAAGACACAAATGAAGAGGGCACCTCTCAGCTATTTTTCTGCCTCAAACATAAAAAAGGCAGAAAGCACCCATTATATGGACAACAGAGTACCATTGCCTGTGTAAACAGTATGTTGAACAAGCATGACTCGTGAATTTTGATCAAAACACAAATTTATGTTTGGCTTCTACAGTTCCTTTAAGCATCCTCTGAACAGAGGGAGAAATCTTCCCCTGCCTTAAGCTGAAGACTTGGGCAGATCCATGACCTTGTAGTCACTCTCAGATAATAAAAGTCTTTGGATTAGAAAAAGAGTCTTGATTTCAAGGGATCGCAATTCACAAACCAAAATGTCAAGTCCATAAAATAATCGAAACTCAGAACTTGATGGCATAAGATCCATACCATGAATGTGCATTCAGGCTGCGAGCCTGCGTTGATACCATGACACAGTCATTCTGTTTTCTTCTCTGGGGACTAACTTTCTCTTCCTCCTGAGAGCTGCTGTCTTTGCCCTTCAGTGATAAAACTTGAGGAGTAAGAAAAAGTAGAGACATCCTGCTCGATGGGGGACTGAGCATTCCATGACTGATAGTTTAAGCAGACATTTTCTCCGTTTAGGGGGCATCTCCAGTCTCCCTCTACTGATACTTCTGTTCCCTCTAGATAATTCTGTTGGACAGGACTCAAGATGTCCCTCTCCGACTCCCTTTCACCTTTCACCTGGCCCTCGTGTGTTACTACCACAATAACTATGGGAATGAAGACAGACCCCACTCAGGCCCAAAATCAGAGTCATCAGCCCTCCTCTGGCCCTAGATTTCTCCAGCCTGTCAAAACCTAGTGACTCCCAGGGTCTGTGTCGCTCAATGTCAGGGAACACATTTCAGTGCTCTCCAGGTAGTCCTTTTGAATCTTCTTTTTATTAAAGCTTAAGGTAAGAAGGTAGCACCGCCCCACACCTCCCCGCAAAAGAAAGTGTGACCCACAGACAGTGTGCATCTCTGTTGAAAAACGCCTTTATCAAACACCTTTCACCCATTCCATTCTGTGTCCCATTTTTGTGTCCTCTGTTTGACAGGAACAAGTCTTTGATATCATTTCCTTTGTAAATCTGCACATGGGAAGGAACAGTTTTTCATTCTCATTTTTATGACCTGATGTTCATCAGGCTAGCC